AAAATCGATGTCGAATTTGTTTGGTCTCCCGCAATCGCCAAAACCATGCACTCCTCGCAACACGCCGGGATCTCCCGGTAGCTGCTGCAGTTTCCCCAGTGCCTCCGCTCCGTTGTCCTCCACACAAGACCCTTGAGGGCCCCATCCTCCAGCTTGAACGTCCTCCTCGCCCTCCAGTAGAACATCTTCTCCCCGCACGTCGTCACCCTCCGCTGCAGTGGATGGATCGGGTTCATCAGCATATCGGGCCTCTCCTCGAAATACGACACAACCCTCTCATCAAGAGAGGACCCTCCACGGACCCGCTTGATCCCGACCTCACGGATAAACCCCCTCATATCCACAACTCCGTGCTGCTGCCCCCGAGGACAAGGCAACACACTCCTCAGCCTCGCCCATAGCCCACGGGCAAAGCCCTCCCGCACATCCATGCACACCGAGATCAGCATCCCCGCGGTCACCGCAGCCTCGTCCATGGTCCACACAAGGTTGCGCGGAGAGATCAGGTGCTCGTACATCATCCCATGCACGTCCGATGGCAGCGCGCCTACCAGCCTCAGCGATGAACTCGCTCCCCCCATTTCAGAGTCGCTGGGGTTGGACTTGTGCAAAAAGGCGGGAAGAAGGAAGTTTGTGGATCTCCTCTACCCGACTACCCCACCCTCTCTTGACCTTTGAAGACAGTGAAATCATACCGTACGTGATCAGGGTGGAAGTAGGGATCGGATCTGACGTGCGTACGACTTACACCTACCACCAAGACAACAAGAAGCACAGACAATGAGGCAGAGAGACAGAGAGACAGAGAGACAAGAGAAAAGAAAAGAGAGCCTGTCGCACACACCGCGCAAAGGGCAGCAGCAGCAAGAGGAGCCTCTGGTGAAGCGGAGAGTGATGTTGCACGCGCATCCTTGGAGAAACAAGATAGATCAATCAGGACTTGCTTTTACTAGACCGTATCAAGCAGGGCAGGCTACTGCTGCTCGTCAGATCATGGAGGTCTCCTTCTGTCACGTGGACTCTAGGAGTGCGGTGTGAAGGCGGTGTACCACAACATGGATGGTTCACCATCGAAGCTCCTCCGATGATCCTCTTGATACTTGGTCTGGGTGATGGTAAGAATGTTGACCTGCCCTCGTGGTGCGACCTCCTGCCACGAGCGTGAGGATAGCAGACCTGACCAGTTGCAGCCTAGTGATCCGTCTAAAGAGCCCGGGCTGTGAGAGCCTGTACGTACATGGCAGATCATTGCGCACACGCGCCAGATACTAGCGCAGACACAGCGATACACTCCTTGCATTGAGATCGCCTCCGGCCGTGGACGCAGACGCTGCCTCCCCCGCACTCCTTGCATCCATATCGTATACGGCCGTGGGGGCAGATGCTGGATCCCCCGCACTCCTTGCATGTAGATCGCCTCCGGCCGTGGGGGCAGACGCTGGATCCCCCGCACTCCTTGCATGTAGATCGTCTACGGGCGTGGGGGCAGATGCTGGCTCCCCCGCACTCCTTGCATCGAGATCGTATGCGGCCGTGGGGGCAGATGCTGACTCCCCCGCACTCCTTGCATCGAGATAGTATACGGGCGTGGGGGCAGATGCTGCCTCCCCCGCACACCTTGCATGTACCTCGTATATGGCCGTGGGGGCAGATACTGCCTCCCCCGCACTCCTTACATTCAAATCGCTGACGGCCGTGGGGGCAGATGCTGGCTCCCCCGCACTCCTTGCATCGAGATCGTACACGGGCGTGGGGGCAGATGCTGGCTCCCCCGCACTCCTTGCATGTAGATCGCTGACGGCCGTGGGGGCAGATGCTGCCTCCCCCGCACTCCCTGCATGTAGATCGCTGACGGCCGTGGGGGCAGACGCTGCCTCCCCCGCACTCGTTGCATTCGGAGCGCCTCCGGCCGTGGGGGCAGACGCTGCCTCCCCCGCACTCCTTGCATCGAGATTGCCTCCGGCCGTGGGGGCAGACGCTGCCTCCCCCGCACTCCTTGCATTCAGATCGCCTCCGGCCGTGGGGGCAGATGCTGGCTCCCCCGCACTCCCTGCATCGAGATCGCCTCCGGCCGTGGACGCAGATGCTGGCTCCCCCGCACTCCTTACATCCATATCGTATACGGGCGTGGGGGCAGATACTGCCTCCCCCGCACTCCTTGCATCGAGATCGCTGACGGCCGTGGGGGCAGATGCTGCCTCCCCCGCACTCCTTGCATGTAGATCGCTGACGGCCGTGGGGGCAGATGCTGGCTCCCCCGCACTCCCTGCATGTAGATCGCTGACGGCCGTGGGGGCAGATGCTGGCTCCCCCGCACTCCCTGCATGTAGATCGCTGACGGCCGTGGGGGCAGATGCTGCCTCCCCCGCACTCGTTGCATTCGGAGCGCCTCCGGCCGTGGGGGCAGACGCTGCCTCCCCCGCACTCCTTGCATCGAGATTGCCTCCGGCCGTGGGGGCAGACGCTGCCTCCCCCGCACTCCTTGCATTCAGATCGCCTCCGGCCGTGGGGGCAGATGCTGGCTCCCCCGCACTCCCTGCATCGAGATCGCCTCCGGCCGTGGACGCAGATGCTGGCTCCCCCGCACTCCTTACATCCATATCGTATACGGGCGTGGGGGCAGATACTGCCTCCCCCGCACTCCTTGCATCGAGATCGCTGACGGCCGTGGGGGCAGATGCTGCCTCCCCCGCACTCCTTGCATGTAGATCGCTGACGGCCGTGGGGGCAGATGCTGGCTCCCCCGCACTCCCTGCATGTAGATCGCTGACGGCCGTGGGGGCAGATGCTGCCTCCCCCGCACTCGTTGCATTCGGAGCGCCTCCGGCCGTGGGGGCAGACGCTGCCTCCCCCGCACTCCTTGCATCGAGATTGCCTCCGGCCGTGGGGGCAGACGCTGCCTCCCCCGCACTCCTTGCATTCAGATCGCCTCCGGCCGTGGGGGCAGATGCTGGCTCCCCCGCACTCCCTGCATCGAGATCGCCTCCGGCCGTGGACGCAGATGCTGGCTCCCCCGCACTCCTTACATCCATATCGTATACGGGCGTGGGGGCAGATACTGCCTCCCCCGCACTCCTTGCATCGAGATCGCTGACGGCCGTGGGGGCAGATGCTGCCTCCCCCGCACTCCTTGCATCGAGATCGTATACGGCCGTGGGGGCAGATGCTGCCTCCCCCGCACTTCTTGCATCCAGCTTTCTGTCGGCCGTGGGGGCAGATGCTGCCTCTCCCCCTATTCTGGCTCTGCTCTTCTTTGCGCTTCTTCTTGCATGACCCTCTCTCTGCTCCCTCCCGTATCCTGCCTTCCTCTCCCTCCTCAGTGTCGGCAGGCGGCCATGCCTTGAGGGCTCCTCCTCCTCCCTCGGAAGCCTCGACCCTCGGTCTCTTGCTGCGAGCGCGGCAGGGGCTGGAGGAGCTTCTCGCCATGTCTCCCGTCCAGGGCAGCGCGAACATGCCGTCGTCGGGTGGAGGACGGAAGGCGGGAGGGGTAGGGGTAGCAAGGCAGGGGGTAGGAGGGGAGGGAAGAAAAAGGCGGGAAGAAGCCTACCTGACTACCCCACCCTCCCGTGCTCCTGCAGGGCCTCCCACTCAGACACCCGTATGGTGAAAGAGGGGGTGGAGTCAGGGGATCACAGGGGTCACACGGGGTGGGGTCCTACAGACCGCCGACTGACATTCAGCCGCAGAGTTCACTCAGTCTAGTCAGTGGATGGTATGGAGGGGGTAGGGTACTAGATGGTAATAAAGCTCTAGGAAGAGGGTGGGTGGGTGGGGTGGTGTGATGAAGTTACGACCGTAGAGAAATGGCGGGAAGATGAAAGTTTGTGGGTCAGTCAGTCGGGCCCCGGCTCTTATCACCCTCCGGTCCGCTCATTCACTGAGACTGACTTTGACTAAGGGTCCTTTCACTCAAAGTTAGTCTCCTCATCCTGCCTACTGCTGATACCTTCACTTCACTGCGCGCAGCACCAGACCCCCGCGCCATCCCAGCGATGTCGCTGTGACCGCCGCCGAAGGACGATAGGGTACGATTGGCTGACCCTCGAGGAGGAGCAGGCTACAGATCTAAGCGATCGCACGAGAGATGCTCGCTCGTGCGTGAGGAGCCTCACCACCCCTGGTGCTTCCCCTTGACCTAACAGGATCGTCAACAACTGCTCAGGTGGTCTGTCCTCCCCCTTGCTGTATGTGCCACGGGTCGATACTGCGCTCGTGTTATCAAATATACTTGATATCTCTACTCTTCACCTTCGTGTGTTATTCAGCGGAGGTGCCTTGATGAGTATTTGCTGTAGACGTTGCAACCCGTGAAGCTTCGGGGGGGAACGCATGGCGTACAGGCGAACCGGCGTCCCCTTCATCGCCAAGGCCTTCCCCGTCACCAGCATGGTGACGATCAACACACGCACACACCAAGGCGGGTCACACAAGCATACTGACTTCCTCGCACAACCACGTCGACATCGCCAGCGCCGGGTATGTCCCCCCGTCGCAGCCATCCTACTCATCTCTGGGTAAGCCCTACTCCCCCCCCGCCCCCCCTACACGCACAGCACACAGGTCCGCACTCTGCGTCTGCATCGTCATCGCCCTCCGGTACGCCGACCAAGACGCTGAGACGAGGACGACAGCAACGACCCTGGCAGGACCCTCTGGACGGACTTCCCGGTACAACATGATGCCCCCCGCCAAGAGCGGCGGCTGCTGCAGAAAAGGCAACGACATTGTCTTGTAACGGCTCTAAAGCTCTGAGATCTCAAAATCGATGCCGAATTTGTTTTGGTCTCCCGCAATCCGCCAAAACCATGCACCTCCCTCGCAACACGCCGGATCTCCCGGTAGCTGCTGCAGTTTCCCCAGTGCCTCCGCTCCGTTGTCCTCCACACAAGACCCTTGAGGGCCCCATCCTCCAGCTTGAACGTCCTCCTCGCCCTCCAGTAGAACATCTTCTCCCCGCACGTCGTCACCCTCCGCTGCAGTGGATGGATCGGGTTCATCAGCATATCGGGCCTCTCCTCGAAATACGACACAACCCTCTCATCAAGAGAGGACCCTCCACGGACCCGCTTGATCCCGACCTCACGGATAAACCCCCTCATATCCACAACTCCGTGCTGCTGCCCCCGAGGACAAGGCAACACACTCCTCAGCCTCGCCCATAGCCCACGGGCAAAGCCCTCCCGCACATCCATGCACACCGAGATCAGCATCCCCGCGGTCACCGCAGCATCGTCCATGGTCCACACAAGGTTGCGCGGAGAGATCAGGTGCTCGTACATCATCCCATGCACGTCCGATGGCAGCGCGCCTACCAGCCTCAGCGATGAACTCGCTCCCCCCATTTTGGAGTCGCTGGGGTTGGACTTGTGCAAAAAGGCGGGAAGAAGGAAGTTTGTGGATCTCCTCTACCCGACTACCCCACCCTCTCTTGACCTTTGAAGACAGTGAAATCATACCGTACGTGATCAGGGTGGAAGTAGGGATCGGATCTGACGTGCGTACGACTTACACCTACCACAAAGACAACAAGAAGCACAGACAATGAGGCAGAGAGACAGAGAGGCAGAGAGACAAGAGAAAAGAAAAGAGAGCCTGTCGCACACACCGCGCAAAGGGCAGCAGCAGCAAGAGGAGCCTCTGGTGAAGCGGAGAGTGATGTTGCACGCGCATCCTTGGAGAAACAAGATAGATCAATCAGGACTTGCTTTTACTAGACCGTATCAAGCAGGGCAGGCTACTGCTGCTCGTCAGATCATGGAGGTCTCCTTCTGTCACGTGGACTCTAGGAGTGCGGTGTGAGCCAAGGTCCGGTGTACCACAACATGGATGGTTCACCATCGAAGCTCCTCCGATGATCCTCTTGATACTTGGTCTGGGTGATGGTAAGAATGTTGACCTGCCCTCGTGGTGCGACCTCCTGCCACGAGCGTGAGGATAGCAGACCTGACCAGTTGCAGCCAAGTGATCCGTCTAAAGAGCCCGGGTTGTGAGAGCCTGTACGTACATGACAGATCATTGCGCACACGCGCCAGATACTAGCGCAGACACAGCGATACACTCCTTGCATGTAGATCGCCTCCGGCCGTGGGGGCAGACGCTGCCTCCCCCGCACTCCTTGCATCCATATCGTATGCGGCCGTGGGGGCAGATGCTAGATCCCCCGCACTCCTTGCATGTAGATCGCCTCCGCCCATGGAGGCAGATGCTGCCTCCCCCGCACTCCTTGCATGTAGAGCGTCTACGGGCGTGGGGGCAGATGCTGCCTCCCCCGCACTCCTTGCATCGAGATAGTATACGGCCGTGGGGGCAGATGCTGGCTCCCCCGCACTCCTTGCATCGGGATCGTGTACGACCATGGGGGCAGACGCTGCCTCCCCCGCACTCCTTGCATTCAGATCGCCTCCGGCCGTGAAGGCAGATGCTGGCTCCCCCGCACTCCTTGCATCGAGATCGTACACGGGCGTGGGGGCAGATGCTGGCTCCCCCGCACTCCTTGCATTCAGATCGCCTCCGGCCGTGGGGGCAGATGCTGCCTCCCCCGCACTCCTTGCATTCAGATTGCCTCCGGCCGTGGGGGCAGATGCTGGCTCCCCCGCACTCCTTGCATTCAGATCGCCTCCGGCCGTGGGGGCAGATGCTGCCTCCCCCGCACTCCTTGCATGTACCTCGTATACGGCCGTGGGGGCAGACGCTGGCTCCCCCGCACTCCTTGCATTCAGATCGCCTCCGGCCGTGGGGGCAGATGCTGGATCCCCCGCACTCCTTGCATGTAGATCGCCTCCGGCCGTGGGGGCAGATGCTGGCTCCCCCGCACTCCCTGCATTCAGATCGCCTCCGGCCGTGGGGGCAGATGCTGCCTCCCCCGCACTCCTTGCATCGAGATCGTACACGGGCGTGGGGGCAGATGCTGGCTCCCCCGCACTCCTTGCATCGAGATCGTGTACGACCGTGGGGGCAGATGCTGGATCCCCCGCACTCCTTGCATTCAGATCGCTGACGGCCGTGGGGGCAGATGCTGCCTCCCCCGCACTCCCTGCATCGAGATCGTATGCGGCCGTGGGGGCAGATGCTGGATCCCCCGCACTCCTTGCATCCATATCGTATACGGCCGTGGGGGCAGATGCTGGATCCCCCGCACTCCTTGCATGTACCTCGTACACGGCCGTGGGGGCAGATGCTGGATCCCCCGCACTCCTTGCATCGACATCGCTGACGGCCGTGGGGGCAGATGCTGGCTCCCCCGCACTCCTTGCATCGAGATCGTATACGGCCGTGGGGGCAGATGCTGGCTCCCCCGCACTCCTTGCATGTAGATCGCCTCCGCCCGTGGAGGCAGATGCTGGCTCCCCCGCACTCCTTGCATTTAGATCGCTGACGGCCGTGGGGGCAGATGCTGCCTCCCCCGCACTCCTTGCATCGAGATCTCCTGCGGCCGTGGGTGCAGACGCTGCCCTCTGCTCTCTCCTGGCTCTTCTCTTCTTTGCGCTTCTTCTTGCATGACCCCCTCTCGGCTTCCTTCCGTATCCTGCCTTCCTCTCCCTCCTCAGTGTCGGCAGGCGGCCATGCCTTGAGGGCTCCTCCTCCTTCCTCGGAGGCCTCGACCCTCGGTCTCTTGCTGCGAGCGCGGCAGGGGCTGGAGGAGCTTCTCGCCATGTCTCCCGTCCAGGGCAGCGCGAACATGCCGTCGTCGGGTGGAGGACGGAAGGCGGGAGGGGTAGGGGTAGCAAGGCAGGGGGTAGGAGGGGAGGGAAGAAAAAGGCGGGAAGAAGCCTACCTGACTACCCCACCCTCCCGTGCTCCTGCAGGGCCTCGGGGACACCCGTATGGTGAGAGAGGGGGTGGAGTAGGGGGATCACACAGGGTGGGGTCCTACAGACTGCCGACTGACTTTCAGCCGCAGAGATCACTCAGTCAGTCGTCGGATGGTATGGAGGGGGTAGGGTACTAGATGGTAAAGCGCTAGGAAGAGGGTGGGTGGGTGTGTGGTGTGGTGTGATGAAGTTACGACCGTAGAGAAATGGCGGGAAGATGAAAGTTTGTGGGTCAGTCAGTCGGGCCCCGGCTCTTATCACCCTCCGGTCCGCTCATTCACTGAGACTGACTTTGACTAAGGGTCCTTTCACCCCCTTCTTTCCCCGATTTAACCCTTCCCCCGGTTAAGGGACCCACCCCCATCACGCCCACGATAACCCCGAGCTCACTCCCCTCCTCCTAGCTGCCTCCCAACACTTGTTGGCAGGGTCCTGCTGTACCAAGCAGCTGCCGAGCAGCGACTTGTCCAGTTAGCTGTGTAGCGCAGACAGACAGCAGGAGCAAGAAGAGGATGTCGTTGTATCGAAACACCGTGATGTACATGGTGGCGCTGTGCGCGGTCAGCCCTCTAGCACATGGAGCAAGAAGTGTACCTTGCGGAGGATGCACATTTGATATCTCGGAAGGAGGGCTGCTGACGAGGGAAGGAAATTGCGCGAGCGATTGTACGAGTCTAGACTTGAGCCGTCAAAGCATCCGAAATATCACTGAGGCTGTATTCGACGGGCTCTCGAATCTAGAGTCACTCTTCCTTTGGGACAACCAGATAACAATCCTTCCAGAGGGGATATTTCACGGGCTCTTCAACTTGCGTCATCTTTCTTTGGGTAGCAATCAGCTGACAAGCATGCCAGAAGCAATCTTCGACGGACTCTTGGGGCTGGAGGTACTCAGTTTTTCTGGCAATAATCTAAAGAGCCTTCCAGAGGGAATATTTCACGGGCTCTTGAGCTTGAGAGAGTTAAATCTTAACAGCGATAAGCTAACAACTCTTCCGGCGGGAATATTTCAGGGGCTTACAGGACTGAAGTATCTGTCTCTCGATAACAACGAGCTGACGAGCATACCAGAGGGAATATTCAAAGGGCTCACGGCGTTGTACTGGATCTATTTTTCAAACAACCGGCTCAAGGAGCTTCCTGCGGGAGTGTTCAGGGACCTCTCGGCGTTGGAGGAGCTAGACCTTACCGGCCATGAGCTAACGAGCCTTGAGGAGGGAGTCTTCACCGGACTCTCGAAGCTGCGAGGCCTACATCTTGGCTACAACAAGATTGCTAGACTTGACAAGGGTGTCTTTCACGGGCTCTCGGGGTTGAGCTGGCTAGATCTTGGCGGCAACCAGCTGACGGGATTTCCAAAGGGGATTTTCGACAGGACCACTCAGCTGCTGGGTCTAGATCTTGGCGGCAACCAGCTGACGAGCCTTCCAGAGGGATTATTCGACGGGCTCTCGACGATAGGTTGGCTATATCTTCAGGACAATCGACTCGTATGCGTGTCCTCTATGGCTTTCGCAAACTTGACGGCTCTAACAGTTCTAGAGATGTATGACAACAATCTGACTTGCATCCATACTTCATGGCCCGCCTTTGCAAAGCTGGATGTGGGGCTGGCTCCTTGTGAGAACGAAACGGTGTGTGTTGGAGGATGGGACACCAGCAGCTTGTCCAACAGCACAGGAATAACGCCAGTTCTTCCTTGGAACGGCAACTGCTCCTTGAACGCATCTTGGGAGCACATTATCCAGCATGAGACGGAGCCGTTGCAGCCAGTACGTCACTTCTTCATTACAGGTTCGTTGGGGAAGGTTTTCTCTTGTGCACATACGATGTCACTGAAGTTCTGGGCAGGTGGACTAGGCAGGCTCAAGGTAGATGGAGTGGAAGAGGTGTGGGTGTGCCAGTACGGCCATCAATGCTGTCCAGTGCTTCTTGCTTCGGATGCTGTGGTTTGATCCTGACTTTTTGCCTCGCATTGGTTGACTGACTGGAGGATCCTGTTTTTTCTGTGAGGCAGGACGATGGAAGTGCGGGGAGAGAGGCCTTCTGTTTCATATACGACGAGATCAGGTGCTTTGTCTGTGCCAGTGTGCGCGTACACAAAAGCATCTCCGAGGCTCACGTGAATTTCTCTTTTCTTTTCGTTGATCTCAGAGAGACGTTCAGGCCTTGGGGGCTCTTGTCGGAGCTTCGTTTATCTTCTCTTTAAGTGTGGATTAAACCGTGATAGTTTACGTTCTTAACTGGTGTGTAAGCCTATTTTCTCCTGCTCCTCCTTTCAAGTTCAGTTCCGGAGTCCAGTTCTATTCCTCGTGTTTTCGCACAAGTATCTCTAGCTCCCTGATCACTGTGAGGATCTCGGATTTGATAAGTTCTGTACGGCATCGGAGCAACAGTGGTGCATACCTTGCGGATCAAGAGTACTAGTGAGCATGCCATGATGTGTGCACTCAGAGGCTCGGTACTATATCAGCTCCAAAAACTTCAACTCATCGCCTGCAACCTTGTTGTGCTTTCGTCATGCCATCAGACTCTGTAGCTACAAATTTGCCCAATGCTGCAATCAGCGGCTCCCGTGACTGACTCAGTCACCGTCAGAGAGCAGTGCCTTCATCACTCTGAAGCAATCAAGGAAGACAGTGAGGAGCAAACCTAGGAAGCTACCTAACCTTCAGTCGTTGCCTTACAATACTTACCACAACCATGGCCCCACCTTTCACGGCGCTTTGGCCGGTCACTTCCTGGTGACAGGATTCCTTTCACAATCGAAACACAAAACAGTGCCCCACCACCCCTCGTCATCCCTCTCTTTGCAGCGGTACTCAGGTCACCCACAGAACACTGCTCCCCTATACCCACTCCATCACCTCCCTGCCGTTAGTCCAGAAGTTTCTTTTCTAGGAAGTCAAGACCGCTGCCAGCATGCGCACGATGAACGTCCAGTACTTCCTCAGTAGAGATATTGTCGGGCTCTCCCTACCCATCCTCTCCCGCCTCTTCCACCTCAAGTAGCCCCTCGCCGCTGACTACCTCGGCATCTCCCTCACCTCCCTCAAGTCCGCATGCCGCAAGCTTGATCTGTGTCGATGGCCGTATGTGCAAGACCATCAGCAGGAGGGCAAGAAGCTATCAGAGCCTGGCCAGGAGCAGGAGCAGGAGCAGGAGCAGGAGCAGGAGCAGGAGCAGGAGCAGGAGCAGGAGCAGGAACTGCCGATGGAGGAACGACTCCGCCTCCCAGCAAGATCAGCCGGCTGATGCCGCTTTGCCCGCAGCACTGGAGTCAATCCCGGGACATGAGGAGGGTAAGGCGATGGCCTACACGGCAGAGTTGTTTGAGAAGACGGAGAGGAGGGAGGCGTTTGCGAAGCTTTTTGGGAGCCTGCTGGAGCTCGAGGAGGCAGGGCAGGAGGAGGGGTGGGGGGAGCTCGAGGGGATTTGAGGTTGGAGTTTCGGAAGTGGTGTTTCAAGATGTAGTAGTAGGAGGAGGATTTTCAACGCCTTGCCAAGTTCTAGTCTAGGCTGGCCCGTGTGGCAGACGTGCTGCTCATTCACTGATTTTGAGCGGTAGATTTGAAGGATGAGCAGCCTCTTCTTACCACGTGGGAGGACAAACAAGGCCACAATCCTTTCAGTGAATGTGGCACAGCAAGAAGAGACCCAAAAGGGTGACAGTCGCAGTGAAGCTGACAATGCTTCGGGTGGTCAAGATGACGGAGATACGTAGGGTAGCTGAATCTCCGCTGGATAACACACGAAGGTGAAGAGTAGAGATATGAAGTATATTTGATAACACGAGCGACCAGTTGTTGACGATCCTGTTATGGTCAAGGGAAAGCACCAGGGGTGGTGAGGCTCCTCACGCACGAGCGAGCATCTCTCGTGCGATCGCTTAGATCTGTAGCCTGCTCCTCCTCGAGGGTCAGCCAATCGTACCCTATCGTCCTTCGGCGGCGGTCACAGCGACATCGCTGGGATGGCGCGGGGGTCTGGTGCTGCGCGCAGTGAAGTGAAGGTATCAGCAGTAGGCAGGATGAGGAGACTAACTTTGAGTGAAAGGACCCTTAGTCAAAGTCAGTCTCAGTGAATGAGCGGACCGGGGTGATAAGAGCCGGGGCCCGACTGACTGACCCACAAACTTTCATCTTCCCGCCATTTCTCTACGGTCGTAACTTCATCACCCATCTAGTACCCTACCCCCTCCATACCATCCACCGACAGTGACTGAGTGATCTCTGCGGCTGAATGTCAGTCGGCGGTCTGTAGGACCCCACCCCGTGTACGGGTCACGGGTCGCGAGGCCCTGCAGGAGCACGGGAGGGTGGGGTAGTCAGGTAGGCTTCTTCCCGCCTTTTTCTTCCCTCCCCTCCTACCCCCTGCCTTGCTACCCCTACCCCTCCCGCCTTCCGTCCTCCACCCGACGACGGCATGTTCGCGCTGCCCTGGACGGGAGACATGGCGAGAAGCTCCTCCAGCCCCTGCCGCGCTCGCAGCAAGAGACCGAGGGTCGAGGCCTCCGCAGGAGGAGGAGGAGCCGTCAAGGCATGGCTGCCTGCCGACACTGAGGAGGGAGAGGAAGGCAGGATAAGCGTCTGCCCCCACGGCCGTATACGAGGTACATGCAAGGAGTGCGGGGGAGCCAGCTTCTGCCCCCACGGCCGCAGGCGATCTACATGCAAGGAGTGCGGGGGGGCCAGTATCTGCCCCCACGGCCGCATACGATCTCGATGCAAGGAGTGCGGGGGAGGCAGCTTCTGCCCCCACGGCCGTATACGATCTCAATGCAGGGAGTGCGGGGGATCCAGCATCTGCCCCCACGGCCGGAGGCGATCTCAATGCAAGGAGTGCGGGGGATCCAGCGTCTGCCCCCACGGCCGTATACGATCTGGATGCAAGGAGTGCGGGGGACCCACCTTCTGCCCTCACGCCCGCAGACGATCTCGATGCAAGGAGTGCGGGGGAGCCAGCGTCTGCCCCCACGGCCGTCAGCGATCTACATGCAGGGAGTGCGGGGGATCCAGCGTCTGCCTCCACGGCCGTCAGCGATCTCAATGCAAGGAGTGCGGGGGATCCAGCATCTGCCCCCACGGCCGTCAGCGATCTCGATGCAAGGAGTGCGGGGGAGGCAGCGTCTGCCTCCACGGCCGCAGACGATCTACATGCAAGGAGTGTATCGCTGTTTCTGCAGTGGTACGTGTTCAACCAGACCAGGCTTCAAGAGGATCATCGGACGAGCTTCGATGGTGAACCATCCGTGTTGTGGTACACCGGACCTTGGCTCACACCGCACACCTAGAGTCCACGCGACAGAAAGAGACCTCCATGATCTGACGAGCAGCAGTAGCCTGCCCTGCTTGATACAGTCTAGTAAAAGCAAGTCCTGATTGATCTATCTTGTTTCTCCAAACATGCGCGTGCAACATCACTCTCTGCTTCACCAGAGGCTCCTCTTGCTGCTGCTGGCCTTTGCGCGGTGTGTGCGACAGGCTCTCTTTTCTTTTCTCTTGTCTCTCTGTCTCTCTGTCTCTCTGCCTCATTGTCTGTGCTTCTTGTTGCTCCGATCCCTACTTACTAAGTTATTTGGGGTCTGGTAAGTTTTGCGGCCCGGACGGCGCCGGGCCACGAGCTATCTTAGAAACTTTAAATGTTATCCTGAGCATTGTCAGACTGGAGTGAATTGTTGTGCGATCGACAAAACAATGATAAATGCAGGATTTTGTTCTGTGTTTGAGGAATGTGAAGCAGATCTGGGGGGTATAACAAGTCATGAACCTGACTTGGCTCAGCGAATTGACCTGCTTCAAGATCGCAAGGAAAAGTTTTGTTTGACAGGAAAGACAGAAAACTATATCAGCGAACAGCTGGTTGGCATGTTGAGATCCGATCAACAGAGTGTGCATCAGAGGAAGAGTCATATGGAGCAAGCATACAAGAAGGTTCGAAGTGCATTTGTTGCCAAGCATAGAACCGTAGGCGAATCTCCAGAGGATGTCAGGTTCACACCACATCAACGTTATTTGAAGACAGTAATTGAAGGCTGTGAACAGATGGATGTAGAAATTCCTCGATTGATAGGAAAACTGGAGGGAATGGCGAATGGCGATCTGCCTGTCAACGAATCAGAACTTCAAAACGAGTTGTACAAGTACAATGAGAAATTTTACAAGCATACAGTTGCTGAACTGGCTGAAGATGCCATCAGTGTGGTTGCACAAGATGGATGTGCGAGCACACCCCCTGTCCCCATGTACATTGGTTTTTCAACCAAAAGTTTAAGTGCCTCTGAAGGTCTTCGAATATTGGAAGCCGTCACAAAGGAGGCTCACGAGCGTGGAATTATTTTCAATGTCTGGTCTTTTGACAGCGAGTTTTCTTGCATATACAGGAATTACTACGTGAACAATCCAAGCACATTCATAATAGAGGTGAAGGCTATCAAACAAGAGGCCCAGCAGCTTCATGTATCACAGATATGCTCAGAGATCGCATCATACATTTCATGCGTATTCGACTTTGAACCAGCCATTACTGCACAGGAAGTAGAGAGAGAATGCAATTTGCTAAATATGAACCAATATGATGGACCTGACTTGTCCCAAGTGACAATTCGAACTCGATCTGGAATAATGCACATGAACACTGCAGAGTTTGCCCAAATAGAGAAATTCGCGTTGAGTTTGAGGAGGAACCAATTGATATGGCAGGTCCAGAGAGAAAAGAAATTGCAGTGTTCTCCTTCCACCAGAACTAAGGCCTGTTTGAACGAGATGTACAGCAGAATCCACATCTTCTGCCGACGGTATGGATACGATAGCATTATACAACAAGGGGTTGCAGAGAATGAAACAGCCAAATTCACGCCCTGGGAGCTCGAACGATTGATCACAGATGGATTGGAAGAATTTGATCCAAACAAGATTAGGTTTCAATTCAACGAGTACCTGTCAAACCCTGTTATCTCTCCAACAACGAAGAAGCTACTTTTCTTTGCGCCATGTATCAATCATTTACTGAAGAATGTCAGGCACACGGTTGGCTCGGGGAGAAACCCGACTGCACAGCAAGAGGCTAAAACATGGCATGCTGCGTACACTGATATTTCCAAGAAGAATTCGTCATGGCTAACGCAGCTGGAAGTCGATGGGTGCACGGACCCTCAATCAGTGGATATCATGTTAAAAATGTTCAGCAGCAAGGCCATATCGCTTCTGAATGCAGAGGGACACATTGAAACAGCAAGAATGGCAGAAGCAATGAACGGCCTTCACAGAGCTTTCGACGAGAGAGGCCTCACCAAGTCTGAAAGAAGAAATCTCATTCTTAGAGCTCGAACCTGGCTTCTAAGAGATGTGGATTGGATGAGGGTAGGCAAGAAGCACATGAGGGGGTTGTCATCTGTAACCTTCGAAGGACTGATTGTAGCCATGGACACACATCTACAGATACAGAGTTATTTGAGCAACAACAAAGGTGTGTTGGGTGAAAAGGAGTATGACTTCAATGCACGGACGCTCTGCACAGACAGCGTTGAAAACCTCTGGTCTTTGATAGGTCATTTGAACAAGAAAGATTTCTTGAGGAAATTCAACAAAGCATGCACTGAGCTCTCAAAAAAATTCGATCCCAATCTGCCTTTTGTGTATGACCACTCAAAAAAGCGAATCATTCTTAGCAGACCACGCGGGGAGAAGAAGCTTTTCAACGCAGAGGAAGGAACACGGGACAAAGAGAATGAGTGCAGGTCCCAACCTCGATCTCGGAAACGTATACATACTCAATCTTTGGATACACGAGGAGGATTCACAGGACAAATGCCTGGATTTCAGGGATTACGAACTTTGTCTGGTTGTAAGTCTACGGAAGAAGAGATAGAAAGGACAAAATGTCAAAAGTTAAGACGTGTACAAAGCGAACAAGTATAGAGAATGACAATTTGTATGTATCTCTAAATATAAAATGTTTGTTTTGCATTGTACAGATTTTCATTCTTGAGATATTCATCCTCGAAACAGTTTGTCGCGGGATCGCCATTGCGATTCCCAACAAATTCTACTACCCCACCCCTGTAAAAAGGATTGAAAAAGTACCCGTCCTAATACCGGTAAAAGAGGAGTTCCACCCCCGTGAAGTTATAAGGTGACACATAAGGGGCTGTGCGGAGATCACAGGATCTTGGGGGTAGGGTGAATAATTTTGGGGGGTACTCATTTAAGACTGGGGGTGGGGGTGATCAAAAAACGTGCAAAGACGGGTCATTTTTGTATGTGATTGGTCAGGTGATTTCAACAGAAATGTGGTATCTGCTGGTATTTGATCTATCGTGCTGGGTAGGGTAACATAAGGTAGGGGTAGTGCTGCAAAGGTAGATCTAGCAGCATGGCACGCAAGATTGCGGTAACGGCGATGGCGATGGCGATGGCGATGGCGACAGCCGACGTCTCCTTCGCTTTCTCTCCTTCAGCTCGCTTCACTCCAAGCTCATCCAGGAGCCCGTCCTGTGTCTCTACACCCTCTCTTCGCTCCGGTGCTACATCGTTGAACATGGCTACTGTCAAGGTCGTTGACAAATCCGGAGGGCAAGTTGCGCAGCTGCAGTGTGACAGGTGAGAGATTCATGTTGACCTCTTGTTTTCTCTCTTTTTCCCACCACCATAAGGTGTTGTGTTCTCTCTTGTTTCTGTGCCGTGACAAGTTGCACCGAGCTTTCAATCTTCTCTGTGCAAGTTCCTCATTCATTTCATAGGGAAACGATACTCCGAGATGCCATGCTCGCAGGGAAGGTGGACTTGTACTATACCATGAAAGGTCTATCATCAACTGACACAGATGATATTCATGTCCTTATGTTGTTTTCTGGGCAGGTAAACTTTTCAACTGTGGTGGAGGTGGCAACTGTGGGACGTGCAAGGTTGATGAAACAGCAAGAGGTTCGAAGATTAGGCTTAAATTCCATGTTCAACAGGTCGATCTCGTATCAGGAAATCTCTCTCCTCGCACAGCTGCTGAGGAGAAGCTGCTCAAGGGATGCCCCCCATCCTTCCGCCTTGCGTATGTCCCTGCCATCTCCTGCTTTTGCAGGCTGACCGCGGGAGCAGGTGCCAGTCATGCGTGATGTCGGACGTCACCGTCAGGAACAAGCCGGATGCCTAGACGCTGTTCCTGCTGTCTCTGAACGTGGACACGATCCTACTGTCAACATTGTCTCTTGTGGTCAAGTGCTGATGAAACGTGTGGAACTTCCATATCTGTTTGGAAGCAATAAATGGGGGACGGCACCTGCCAGTCCCCTGCCAGTTCCTGTCAAGTTCCGTAACCCCGTGAGCTGCTCCGCATTCACTGGCTGCAACAGCAGGTTGAAAGCAAACACAACCTCCTGCGTGAATCGAAATACGGTCGAATCGGAACCGTAGCTCCGCTGACCATGCCAGTGCCTCACCGTCACGGCCCTCGGAGTCCGATCGGTACTGAGCGCTGGTCACCAGTGCCATGATGGACACTCGCCGGATAACGAGTCGTCATAGCATGGACGAACTGACCACATTCAGCATGTTGGTCACTGTGCCCAACTCAGTGTGACTCCCCGGTGCCGGGCCGCCGGGGCCGCCGAACTTCGCCGCGGCCGGGGCCGGATCGGACGGTCACGGTTAACCCCGGAAAACTGTCACAGTTATAAACTCTTCATTAACTTCAAAAGAAAGGCAAACCGGAGCAAACAAAGGAGGACGAGGATACACCCTACAAACCCGCCTCAATAAGATACTAGGAAACGAAGGAGTACTCCGTAGTACCGTACTGTCACTAAAAAGTTTCACTACCAAAGTTTGGATCATAAAGTCTCAAAGTCTAAACTTTCAAAGTTTGTTGCAGAGTTTGCTCCCCCCCGATTTGGCGACCATCAACCAACAAATGTCCGCATGACCCCCACCACCGCCCTTACAGCTCTGAAAAGAGGGTTTGAGAGGGGGTAGGTGGTATCCTCGGAATGCTCGCGGCGAACAGGTCAAACATCATGAGAATGAGAAGCGGGGGAAGAGTTATGATGATGATGATGATGATGATGATGATGATGATGATGATGATGATGATGATGATGATGATGATGATGATGATGATGATGATGATGATGATGATGATGATGATGATGATGATGATGATGATGATGATGATGATGATGATGATGATGATGATGATGATGATGATGATGATGATGATGATGATGATGATGATGATGATGATGATGATGATGATGATGATGATCAT